ACTTTATATAAATATAATGTAATAACAAACAAATTAGTTTAGCACCTAATTTTACTATATACATATATTTTTATTAATTTTTGACAGATAATGCAGAAAATTTAAATTTTATTATTAATGATGAAACGTGATATGTGTAAAAGAATAGAAACATTTTATAAATATTTTTTAAGTTAACCAGTCTAACTATAGTCTATTTAAGTTTTTAGATTTTAGTTTTATAATGGTTTTAAATAAGAAAGGTTGAAACGTTTTTCAATTTGAGTGGATTTTCAGTTTGGTGTGTTTAAAAACATTGGTTTGAAAAAATAATATTTTGTTGCATAAACTTCCAATATCTCAAAAAATATATTTATAAAAATTCAATGACATTATCATTTTCTTTGTACTAAAAATATTATTTTTCATAATCAGTTGGTATAATAGTATTTACTGAATGTAGACAGATCGGACTACACACTACTAAAAATATGTAAGTCCAGATGATATTAACAATTAAAAATGGTTAAATTTTAGGGTGGGTTAGTTTATTTTAAAAACATATTATTTTAAAATTTAAATATTTCTGCAAGGATGATGATAAGCTCTATAATTATTCTACCCTATCATTCTATTCACAGTAGATAATCATCACGCTTTATTTTTAAGTCCATTTAACAAGAAATATAAAATATTTGAGTAAAATATTTATTGCCATTCCTACAAGCCTAAACATTGTTTTAATAACTTGTTTTTACAATTAAACTCAAACATTTTTTGAACCATAATTGAATTTTTTAAATTCGTATTTTAATATTTTTTGTAATTTGGACTTAAAATAACAGTATTTATTTACATTAGCACACAAATCAACAGTGCTTTGCAAATTGCAGTGAAGGCATACATTGAAAACATTTTAGGTTAAGTCTTAGTATAGGTTTTAATGATTAAACATATAAATGACGTGATCTGATAAACTAAGCTAAACATTTTCCTGCGGGTTAAAATTAAATAAATATTGACCATTTCTAAACGTGATTTATACAAAAACTAAATTTTCTAAAGAGACATTTTTTACACATAAAATAAATGACGATTTGTTGTTAAAAAATGCAATGTACATTTTATTTTCTACTTTACACTACAGGGTAGTATTAAAATTAAAACATCTGAACTTTAAATTATTTCTATAATTTAATTTGATGTATAATTTATCATCGATAAAATCTATGTCAAACTGCTCGTGCACTCCATCCATATATTCAGGCTCACTCTTGGTTACAATTTTTTTAGATGTTCCGTTTTTTTGAGCGGTCACTTTGCATTGGTGTCAGCCTATACAAAATAATTTTGTATTTTACAGAGGTTCGCGTTAACATCTGTATCTTCTTGGTTTTTAAAGATAATTATGTAGTTCAAACAAAAGTCACGTGAAACAACATAAAATGTATAATATTTTTGTCCAGTAAATAAACAAAAAATAGGTTAAGATTTAAAAATATAAACTTTTTCTTTTACAATTAAAAATCTTCCCTAAAAAGTGTTAGGCCTTGAAGTTGCATCCTAATTTTTAAGGGGTTTTCAAATATTGCTATTTGTCCAAAATAGGCTAGGTATTTTCAATTCAAAATTTTCAGTAAATATTTTTTAATTGTGTAGTAATAATTATTACTTATGAAATTTTAATTACTTAGGGCCGGTTTTTCAATCGTTGGTTAACTTTATCTTACGGTTAAATTTCTTAGATACTATTGTGTTAACAATAGTATCTAAGGAAATTAACCGTAAGATAAAGTTAACCAACGATTGAAAAACCGGCCCTTAAGTAATTAAAATTTCATTACTAAGACTTTTTTAGTTTTTTATTTAAACATTTTTAAAAATACTCAAAGAAGTCGTGGACAGCAGAAAAAGTGTGAACGAGCATTAAGGGAGCAAATCGAATCGCTTTAAGGGAGACCTTTGAGACACCCTGTATGTGTCTTTTGTTTTATTAAAATTGTAAACAGTAAAAGAATAATATTATGTTAATAATACAAGCAATGTAATACACTTAATAGGGCTCCCTAAAATTTTAACTATTTTTAATAATGTACAACAAAAAATGTATAAAATCTTAGTGATTTAATGTTTTAGATAAAGATACCCAATTTTGGACAAATCGCAAAATGCCTAAACTAAAAAGTCTCAGTGATGAAATTTTAACTTGTTATTCGAAAACATTAAAATAATGTGTTCTAAAACATTTTGTATTTTTAAAGTGTGTTCCTTCTGATATATTTTATATTAAAATACGCGATTTTAGATAAATCGCAATATTTAAAGATGAAAACTATATCAAGAAAAAAAATAAAGATGAATTTATTTTTTGAAAACGTAGGTAATCATTTTACTGTTTTTTTATTTAAAATTAAGTAGGCTTATACAGGGTGTACCGAAAATAGTGTGCAATAAGACAAAAATAGGAAGAAAACTTTCCATAAATATAGGTCTGCAAATAGCTCTTAATGGAGCTACAGCCTCTTGAAGAGGGATCGCTTGAGAAGGTTTTTTTATTATTAAATGGTTTGAGATAAAATAATGAAATTTTGTATGCTCACTTAACTTTTTATCCTGAAATTAAAAATTAAAACAAAATTTAAAATTTTATTTAGGAGTATATTAAACAGGTTGAAATTTTGAGTTTTCCAAGTAAAAAAGGTACTTTTGTTTAATCAATAATTTAATAAATTTAACCAGAAATATTATTAAAAATATATATTTGTCCAAAAAATACAATAATTTATCCCAAACCGTTTCGGAAATAACAATAATGGGCGCCCCTTAGGGTCTATTTTTGGCTCTAAAAACGGCTTGTAGAGTGTTGTACACTATTTTTGGGACACCCTGTATATACTGAACCAAAAATATTGTAAATGCTCCTTAACGTTTTATTTGAACTAAAACCAAGACAGAATTTAACGCAAACTTTGTAAAATGCAAAATAGGCTGATGCACCAATACAAAAAGATCACTCACTAAAAACTAAACATCCAAACCTTTTTATATTAAATTGGTTGATTTGATATGGATTTTAAATCCTTTTTACCTTAAAAGTTTTTGGTTATTAGACGATTTTCTTATTCCATGTAACAAAATATGTTTTGATAAACAGTAAAATGTCCCTTTAAAAATGACATAACATTTCTCTAATTTAATAAAAAGCAATAATTATTTTCCTTAATATTTTCCTCGAAAAATGTTTAATGTTATTAAGGCTATATCTTGCACGTGGATTAGGTATTTATTTGGCACAGCTATGTTAGCTTTACATTTTTCAATAGTAGCATCATTTTTTATATATTTATTACATAATACTGCATTTACAAAATAAACGTTCAATATTTTAAAATATATTTATGTGTATTTACAAAAATTTGCAGCTTACATTATTTTCATTTTATTAAATTTTCTAAGTGCCTCTCCCTCTAGAAGTCGCTAAGGTGTCACCGATTGTCGTAGTTGAAACGAAAACAAGACGAAATTTATTTAAATTTGTTATGAACATTGTAATTTATTATACAAGGTGTCCCTAAACTTAGTGGCATAAATTTAGGACCAGATTAAGCAAGTCATAATAAGACGAAAATCTAAATAAATATTTTTCCTAATTACGTATGTTTAGAAGATACAGGGTGATAAAGTGTTACTTATCATATCAGTTTTTTTAATATAACTTCTACTATGGTAGACTTGGTAAGGTGATATTTTGCGAACAGTCACTTACTACCAAAACACATATTCACACATAATTACAATTGTTCGAGTGAACACAGTGTCCTAGAAACAGGAGTTGCTTAAGCTTATTGTCCCATACAAACTTTGAGGTTAGGTTTTTATGCAATTTTTCGATTACTCAGTTCGGTTACTATTAAAAAGGTGTACATCTTAAACTTCGATATAATAAACCGTTTCCGAGATATTCGAGATTACAATAATTGTTATATTGCATTAAAGGACTAAAAGGTATATGATAACAAATTTTTTAATTGAAAAAACTACAATTTTTTTAATGTGACGGTCAGGGCGAAAAGTCCCGAGGCTCATAGAATGTTCTTTTTAGTTTTTTCAATTAAAAAATAAAATTTGTTATCATATACATACATAACAATTATTGAAATCTCGAATATCTCGGAAACGGTTTATTTTATCGAAGTTTAAGAGGTATACCTTTTTAATGGTAGCCGAACTGTGTAATCTAAAAATTGCATCAAATGTTATAAAAACCTAACCTCAAAGTTTGTATGGGAAAATAAGCTTAAAGCAACTCCCGTTTCTACGACACTCAAACAATTATAATTATGTGTGAATATGTGTTTTGGTAGTAAGTGACTGTTCGCAAAATATCACCTTTCCATTACTACCATAGTAGAGGTTATTTAAAAAAAACTGATATGATAAGTAACACTTTATCACCCTGTGGAAACATAAGTAATTAGGAAAAATATTTTGACTTGTTCAATCTTTTCCTAAATTTGTGCCAATAAGTTTGTATAATAAAAAGTTTCACAGTAGGTAATATATCGTGTGACTCTTTCATATCTTCAATCTAGTTATCGTTTTAAATACAACAATTTATAATATGCAAAACCATTAAATTTGCTTACGTTGAAAGCATACCACTAAAGCTGTACACAACAATTAATATTTTATAATGATTTTTTATGTATAACGGTTTGAATGCATATTATAATGAATCTAAAAAGTATTGTTTCCATAATTTTTTTTAAGTAAAATGTCGAGTTTGATTGTTACTGTATACATTACACAGCCTTATAGGACCTCGACAAAAAAATATTTATACAGTTCTTAGGTTAAAAATATGCACCTACTTTAAATCAATTTAAGGGGTAATCATATAAGTTACTACCTATTGTAGATTAAATCTTTAAAACCAAAATGCAGCGTTTTTCATGGAAACAATGCTTCCTCCTACTACAGCTACAGCGGACAGAGCGCGGTCGACGCGGCCTCCGCACGGTCCGCATCTGAGTCCGGTGGACGCGCGCCCTTGTGCCCCGTCCTTACGATTTAAATGATATGTAGCGGTTGCGGAGTGTTCGAAACTCTTTGTTGTTGAATTAAATTCAGTCGGCAACATTGGTCAACCCCGGAGGGTCACTAGGGGGGAGGCTCAGCAAATGTTAGGCTTCCAAAAAGATCAGCGCCGTCGGTTTCGGCTCCATGTTGCTCTTTTTCGCCTCTACCACCAAAAACTCAATGTCTTCGCGATCTCTTCTAAAATCAATCATACAAATTTTAAGGGTGATTTTAACTAACAACAATTAAAATATACCTTGCAAAAGATTCTGCTATAAGTCTGGCAACGTCTTGATGTTGAAGGCCCTCTACACGGGTTCCATCTACTTGAAGAATCAGCTGTCCCACCTCAAGACCACCAGCACTATATGCAGCACCATTTTCCTAAAAAAAACATGTTTTACCTCTTTATGTATTTGTACATTTTTTCACTTAGTCTCTTGGACTAGGGTAGCCGTGCCCTGTATTTCACAGGATATCCCGGACATAGGTCTAGCTTAATTTAAAATTTTAGTGTTAAATCTGCTTAGTTGACATTGTTGACTGTTATAAGTACTTATGGCTTATTTAGTTATAGCTTAAATTGATAGTAGACAGTTTTAACTATTAGGGTGCATAGTTGAGGTATAAACTGTAAATAATATTTTTCATAATATTTACAGTTTATCATAAATTCAAACTATAGTTGCAGGTAAACAAAAACCCACCCAATAATATATTAGGATAAAGAACAACAAAATAAATTTAGATTCAAAATTAATTTATTTTCATTAATTAAATAGGGAAAATACTAAATAGTGTGTTATAACACACTATTTAGTATTTTCCCTATTTAATTAATAACTATAGTTACAAAAAGAAAAGTATAAATAATTTATGGTCTAGGTTTATGTTAATTTGTTTTTAAGTTTCATTAAGTAGTCGTGTATACAGTGTGACCCATTTGTTTGCGACTCACCCCTGTACAATCTTTAGTTATTGTGCGATTTTAACCGGATTTGTTTTAAAATGTAGACCTTGATAAACTGTATTTTTGGAACAAAAACGCCATATTTTTACAAAATACAAGGCCTACTATGTCAGTTTTTAAAAGTAAATTTTTAAGAATTCATATTAGCGATTTTTTTAAACAAAATTTAAGCACGGCACTGGATTTACTACCCCTCAAAACGACTATACTATACTAAATTTTATTGAAAAATAAGTATAAAAATGCACAATAATAACTACAAAAATTTATTCTGTCAAGTTATCCATGAAAAAAACATTGAAACAAAATTAAACTAATAGTAACACGCGTAATAGTAACACGCGTAATGGATGGGACAGTTGCAGATTTTTATTTACAAAATAATATTGTTCTCTTAAATTACTAATGTCAAATTTTTTATAAATAGTTCTAAACAAAAGTTGTTTAAAAAGGTTTTTATTTGGCAAAAATAGGTATCGTGGTTGTCTGTTTAATTCCTTATAAATTATTTTTCTTACTACCTCGACTGAAAATACGTTGTTTCGTTCCCGATTTCACGGCAGAAAGTTTACGTTTCTTGCATTGGTCAAGCTATACGCGAACACTCTATAATAGCGGGAGTAAAAATTTTTTAGTCATGTGCTCAACATATGCAACTCTGATTACGACACTAATATAACCTCAAAATTTGGGCAGGCATCAATATGTTTCGATATACACATTTAATTTTTTCCGGTATTTTCGGCCGGGTTGTATTTTCGGCCGAGGTAGTAAGAAAAATAGTATACACTACACGGAGGAATCTCACACTTTCTGCCCTTGTACTGTAATATACTATTTTTTTATTCAAAAACAGTACTAGTAGTCTTTTTGAATAAAAAAAATATTTTTTAAGGAATTAAACAGTTAACCACGATACCTAATTTTGCCAAATAAAAACCTTGTTAAACAGCTTTTGTTTAGAACTATTTATAAAAATTTGACATTAGTAATATAATAGAACAATGTAATTTTGTAAATAAAAACTTGTAACTGTCCCATCCGTTAGGCGTGGAATGGCCGTATTGTGCATTTTTCTACTTAAAATTTTTCAATAAAATTTATTATAGGGTCGTTTTGAGGGGTGGTGAATCCAGTGCCGTGCTTAAATTTTGTTTAAAAAAATCGCTAATATGAATTCCTAAAAATTTTCTTCTCTTAAAAACTGACATAGTATTCCTTGTATTGTGTACAAATATGATGATCTACACTTTAAAATAAATCCGGTTAAAATCGCACAATAAATAAAGATTTTACAGGGATGAGTCGCAAACAAATGGGTCACACTGTATGTAATAGAATGTCGACGAGATCTGCTTCAACTAACTGGCATCTAATTTCAAGTTTTTTTGAAGCACGACTTCTTCGTGGATTAAATTGTCACCGAGTGAGTATACTCTATATATAGTTTAATTTAACCGTTTAGGAAAGGGCATTATCCTCTTTTTTTATATGTATCCTGTAAAATCAATTTTATAATCCTGGCAACCGAATATTGGGCCCTTGTTCATTTAAAGCTTCTATTAAAAACGTTAAATAAAAATAAAATGAACATTTTTGACGAGCTGCTACTGATTTTAAAATTAGCTTGAGGCAGACTGCTCTATTGTTCGGTACACATCCTTGACTCTTTTGTTTTACCTGTATCTAAGTATACGTCTTTATATTAAACTCGCATGGTGGTCTTTTATTATCCTATCGATGTTTTAAATCTTAAAGTAAGATTCGCAAAAATTTAAATATCGTCCCACATATAACCACTTTGGTATGTATTACATTTAAAATTAAAATTGATTAAATTTAGACAATATTATTATTTATTACATGTTCTATATATGCACATATTTATCGGGTGCGCTATAATCCTAAATTATCTATTGTTTTTGTTTATGGAATGTTTATTAATTTATATCAATATCGGGAGGTGCACCACAAGGTTCCCATTTGGGTCCTTTGTTGTTTAATATTTTTATAAATTACATTGGAAAAACTTAAAATTATTAACAGCAGTTAAATCTGTCCAGCACTCGGTTTACAAAATGACCCTAATATTTTAAGCAATTGGTGTTCCTTAAATAGTATACGTATATGTCACTTAATGTTGATAAATGTTGGGTTGTAAATTTAAGCCAATGCATGGTTGGTACCATTTTGGCGTACTGTTCGAGATTTGGGAGTAGAATTAGATTCGGATTTATCATTTTACGAAAACTTTAATAATATCATTAATAAGTCTATTTAAGAATTAAAAAAAATTTCAAGAACATATAAATAATTAAAAAAACATTGAATTTTCAACTAGTTATTAAATTAATCCCGGCGCATTCGCCATTTTTTAAATATGCAAGAAGTGACTTAATAATTATTATTATAATAATAGATAATATTAACATTTTTAATTTTTGCTTCAAGTTTGGTTAAATTTATCGTTTTTTATATTTATCCTTAATTTAGCCACCCAAACCAGACCCAAATAGGTCGCAGCACTTTGATGTCTTTTATCCTCGGGGTATATCGATTTTTTAAGAAATTTTTTCCAACAATTTGTTTAATCTAGGACACCAATGTCGGTTGAACAGTGTACAAACATCAACTTATCTACACTGTTATAAAAATCAGATTTGTTAACATGAGTATATAGTTTGTTAAGTTTATTTTGTAAAATTTTAACATATTTTTTTGTAGAAACCAGGGTTTGTAATTATTTTAACAAAGGAAAATATTTTACCGAAAGTTTTGTAAAGGTAGTATCCAATTTTGTAAGCATTTTGTTAATTTTTAAGGTAACAGATTATTTTGTTAATGTTTAACAAATTATTTCGTTGAAAAAGTACACGTGATTAAAACATTTTCACATTTCACAACACTGACAATACGCATCAACAAGTTCAATTGACTTTAGCATCTGCAACTTATGTTTCTGCTTTCTTTATTCTAATTCGTTACTTCTTCGTAAAAACTGTCCATAGTGTTTATAATATATTACCAGAAATCTGTTATTATTGTTATTCGGATTCCTTATCCGAAAAAATATGACATCACTGGTTTTCGAACTGAAATCAGGAGATACAGTGAAGTAGGTTAGTTAAATATACGAAATATTCAGTATTTATAATTTGATAATTTCAGAATGGTGTATGTTATTTTTGTGTTCATTTATGTAGAGATGTGTTAATTTTTTTGTTAAGGAAATTGATTAATAAAGCAAAAATTCTTTGCCAATTTCCAAGAAATACTTTTGTACACAAAGGGTAAATTTGTGATAATTTCCTAAATATAGTTATTTATTATTATTTCCTGTATCATATGTCTATGTTAACATACATCAGAGTCTATTTTTTTACCATTTTCATACTTTGTATATATATTTCTTGTATTGTACGCTTTGTGAATAAATATATTATAATTATTATTATTATTATTTTTATTATTATTATTATTATTATTATTATTATTATTATTATTATTATTATTATTATTGTGTCGAGTACCGCTCTGGATCTCGGAATTATGAGTCAACGCCGGTGAGTCTGCGCTTGAACGATCGAGAGCGGTGTGAAGCTCGCTGGAATGTTCGAGAAGGCGCTTGTGTGACGCGGGTTACGTAGGCACTGAATATATAAGGCACAGCAAAGCTTTGTAGAGTTAGTTAAGTTTTGGTACTCGCGACGAAATAAAATAAATATACGTGCAAATAAATAGACTCTTGTACAGTAGTGATATATAAATAATTAGTAGTTAAGTGTTTAGTTAGTTTTATAGTTTCTTAGTGTTTTAACTTAAAACTTTTAAGTGTAATTAAGTTATAAAATAAATCGTTTAGTTCGTTAATAAACCAGTGCGTGTTCACACTACGGACCGATCAAAACGTTATATTATTATTAAAAAAAGTGTGTAAAAATAAGGAGTCCTTATTAAGGACATTTTTAAAAATTACAAGAATTATGGTTGAATTATTGACATAACATTTTGTTGTGAATTCTACAAAATGTCTGTTATTATAATAATTAAAAACTACTTATTCAATTAGTTAACAGACTACAGTTAGTTGTAAACTTAACATAAACTTATGTGAACCTGGATTAACATAATATCTTTGGTTAAAATTAATAAACATTTTTTTACTGTGTATGTGTTAATTTTTTTTAGGAAATTGACTGATTTCTTATCAAAATTCTTTTCATTTAAGTTCCCAATTTCCAACAAATACTTTTGTTACTGGGTCTACAAAAAGGTTTGTACAAATAAGGTCCTTTTTGAAAATTAGATGGTTCTCTCTAAAAATGAAATAACTAGTCAAAATTCTACTATTTGAATTAGTACCAGCATTTTTTACTAATAAAATAGCCGTTTTCACTTTTAAATAGTTATTTTTTACTACGTAAATAGTTAAAGTTTGACTAATTTAATTTAAGATTAGTCACCATCTTTGACTATTTCTAAGAGTTAAAAGTAACTAATTTCTTTAATCGTTTGTGGCCAACAACAAAGTATTATTTGAATTAAATGCATATACCTAAGCTCCATGGTTAAATGACCCATAAAAACAAATAAAGATGCAAAAAGTTCAGCTCAAAACAGCAACACAATCAATATATTCAATTTTAAAATATTATGAACAATATTTATTGACAAATAATAGTAGATTATGTCATAAGGAGTAGAAGTGACTCTTTTTGTGGTGAGTACAGAGATTGACGGCCGCTCGTAGCAACTGTACGAAGCACAAAAAGAGCTTCTACTCCAAATAACATATACTATTTTTTTTCAAGGGCGTAATATAAATATAATAAGCAAAATTTACATTAAATGTACAATTACACGCACTGCAGCTCTTCAATTAAATCATGTGGGATAAAATTTTGGCTAAAAGCATGAGAAATTATTGATAAAAACTAAAAAAACTTATAACCCTTACTTACAATGCCGATAAATATCCTAAACTAAAAATAAACACAGCTCTGTCAAAATGCTGCGCTTGAATTAATTTTGACGTACTGACATTTGTTTGAAATTCCGACATTGGCGACTCGTCTATCATCATAATATTATACTAATAAACTAGTTGTTCTTTATTTCGTTCAATTAAAATTTAATAAATAATCACTAAATATTCCGTGCGATTATAATTAATATAATTAATACATCGTGATTGCTTAGTATGAAATGCTAAATTAATTTTATTATTTGACGTCTATTGAGTCACCTATAGATTTACTTCTATCCCTAGGCTTTTTTGAGTTTTTTGTCTGCCGCTAATGAAAAAGACGCACTTCAACTATCTCTATACATGCATATAAGGTTGTATATCATGGCCGCTTGAAAAAAAAATTAATTTTTATAAGAGCGGCTGATGGCCGAATGGGTTATGACAACAGCTTGACAAGCTTGACAAGTGACAGACCTGAGTTCAATCACTGGCTGGGTCAAAACTTTTTTTAAATTTAAATCTATTAATTTGATTCATTCAGTAGAATTTGACTAATTGAGGCCTGTCATAGCAAAACCGACACTTTTGGTCAAAAATTAGACTTTTGGCGGAGACTGTACTTCAACTAATTATCTATAAGATGATAAAGTTTATGTGCTGCAAAAGGAGCTAAATCCTGCCTAAAATCCTATTTTAAAAATGACATTTAGTGCAAAGTCGACAATCTCCACTGATAGATTTGCAGCAAAGTATACAATCTCCAATTCCACCATTAGAAATTAGTAATTTGTGTCACCTGATATCCTAACATTTGATGTTATAACGTATTTTAGAGATTTAATTTTGTGTTTTTTTACTGTTGGATACTGTTAAGTTCTATAGAACTTATATAGAACTTATATTGCAGTAAATGTCACTTAAAAATAAATTTAAAATAGGTATAAATACGTTTTATTGTTTTAAGAATTATAAAAAAAGTTATCTTGTTTATTTTGTATACCATAATAAGACGTAAAGGTAAAGCAAGAAAAGGCTGATAATGTCAAAACATTGTAAGTAAAACATTATGGGGCAAAGTGGGAAGAAGATGATGAGTTTTTAGAAGAAACTCCAGATTTATGTGGTCCAGTTCAGAATTTTCCCACATTGATTGTATAGTTAAATTTTATACCCATTAAAGGAATAAAAAAACAATTATTTTTTTGTCGATTTTTAAACTGTATTAAAAGATAGCGGGATTGAATTTTACTTACTAAATACTAATTATTTTTTTGTTTATTTTTCTAAATTTCCTTAAACGTTTACAACAAAATGAGCAATCTCCAGCAATTCATATCAAAGTCAGCAATCTCCAATTTATAATTATAGATTTCACCTATAATATGCATCCTGGAGACCTTGTAGTTAGTTGGCTACTAGACTAACAACAACAATATTTCAATATAATATATAAAAAAATTACAAATCTAGAATTTAAAATACCAAAATCAATTTACTCAGTTTTAGTCTGATGGGAGATTGTTGACTTTGCTCTGACAGGCCTCAATTATTAGTGGCTGCTTTTTCGCTATGACAATTAGTTAAATATGACTTATAATTAGTTATTTTTGACTAATTCATTTTAAGAGAGTTGAATTATGGATATAGTATTTTGCAAATCTACACAAACTTATTCAATTAGTTAACTGATTACAGTCGGTTATAAACCTAACATAAAGTTATGTGGACCTGGATTAATATAAAATCTGGTTAATATTTGGTTAAAATTAACAAATATTTTATTTACTGTGTAGTTTTTTCCTTTATACCTTTTTCAAAGTGTGGTAAAAGGGTGATAACTTACATTAATGTTAATAATCCTGGGCAGCGGGTGTTTGGTGTTGGCACCGCCTTCGATCGCGATGCCCAGAATGGGTTTCGTTTTTTTAACGGTGACCCTCAGGTTGCCCTCCTCGTCCTGCACCACGCGCGGGCTTTCGGGCGTCTCGATGCCGACGCCGTCGCGCCCGATCCGGCTCATCGACTGGTGCCGACGAATGCCGTCGTTCTCGCCCATCGACGACTCGTCCTTCATGTCGAAGCTGCGCGAGAGCTTCTGCGCGAGTTCCTAAAAAAATTAAATATATTTACTTTACATTGTTTAAGGATTTTTGGCGGTGTTTAGAGAAAATTACAGCATCAATTAAAAAGATTCTCGTGCAGTTTTAGTTTGGATAAAAATATATTTGTTTTTGTAATTTACTTTAACATTTATTTGTATCTAAAAATTGCTGAATATGTGAGGTAAAAATAGTAAAGCTGTTTTTTATTTTTTTTTACACATCGTGTTTCAAGTTTCGCACCACCTTGAAATTGTATGATCTACGGACCCCCAGGAATCCGAGAAAATTGTTGAAAAAATCTGCCTTCGTTATTTAACAAGATACATATTTTTTTGAAATGACAACATTGCGTACTAATAAAGTGGTAGTTTAATTCTTAATTATCATGGCAACAAACAACAATATTAAAAAGTGTCAAATTCATTACTTTTACTTTACTTTATTTATTTTACGTCAGATTGACAGCAGCAAATACTACGTCGGTCTCCTTATGTAGTGGCGTAACTAGCTTTTCACAAATTTTCCAATAGACGCAAAAAACGAAAATGGAGCATAATTATGTCGGTGTCCAATTGTTACTACTGAAGGTGGCCCAAATTGTTTTTTTTTATCAAAATGTTCAACTATTCCGGCTTCTTTTAAGCATAACATTTTTATTATTATCTGATCAGCTTGCAAGTAAAAAACATGTTTATACAGATACGTCAATTTGTAAAAATATATTTTTTTATGTTTACACTTACGCCTATAAGATCGTGTAGGGAAAAAGTGATATATATATATCACTTTTTCTATAGATTCATAATATTATACTTTTAAACCAGTTTATTGTGATAAATAATGAAATTAGCAAAAATGTTTTACAACGGCTAATAAAAAAAGGAAAAAAAATATTCAATCTTAAAAAAAATGCAAACAGTTTAAAACTGATTTCTTTTTGGAACAAGGAAAAATAGCACTATTCTTTTTTGTCTTCTTCGTGCGGCAAAGAGTAAAAGAAGTTTTGAAGTTCGGGTGTGCGTATTACCGCTGTTTTGTTTTTGCCAGATGGTGTACAAAGAGCAGTTAAATCTTCATATTTCTTTCTGGAAATTTTAATTTGTTCTATTAAAATTATTAATATTATTATTAGAAATACAGTTACGCCACTTGGTGAGGTTAAAAAGCACCCCAAAATAATACCTAAGGCGGCGTATCTCAAAATCTCAATTTTTGTTAGTTACGCCACAACGTAAGGAGACCGACGACTATGCTCCACACCTCAAAGTCCCACCACGTGACCACGTACGGAACGCAGTCTTTTGCAAATTTGGCATTTAAGGCCTTTCAGGCTATGTATCTGTCAAAGTATAGTCAATGAAAGAAATAATATTTATAGTGTTACCGCTTATGTTTAAGCGCTAAAAGTTAATAAATCTTTATAGTATCACAATAACAATGATTGGTTTAAGAATTTAGGAATATAAATACTGCATTTAATGAAATTTCAAAGTGTAAGTTGCAATATAAGTAATATTTTTGTGCATTGACCCGGGTCTACATTTCTCCATAAAATAGTTTTAACTAAACAAAATTTATTAAAAAAATCTACCTTCTCTATTATGAAATAAGAATATCTGTATCAAAGGTAGGTTAATGTATTAGAACAAAAAATATTTAATTTTGTATTTTAAGGTTGGAAAAATCCATTTTGACCAAAATAAATAAGTGGATTATTTGGAAGAGTGTGTTAATATGGTCATAAATAAATATAGGTATACTAAATAATTGTTGAATATGGTTCAAATTAAATTGAAGCTTTTATACTTCTAATGACAAAACTTGTGCATACCTCTCGGCATACCTACTTTTAGTTAGATTATAAGAAAACAAACAATCTTTAGAGAAACTTGCAATGTGAAAATATTTAATACTCCCATGACATGTGATTTATTAAATTTTTTAAAGTTATAATGATTTTTCGATGTAGATAAAATTCAGTCGAAGCTTTTTAACTATTTGTATTGACAAAACTTTATGTAGGTACACTTTAAGCTGGAAAGAAAAACTACCACATTTTTAAATACCCTATTATACAGTCTTTTAAATAATTCAAAATACTTATTTATTTTGGTCAAAATAAATTTTTCTAACCTTAAAATTACAAAATTAGATGACATTTTTGTTATAATATATTAACCTACCTTTAAAACAGATATTCTTATTCCATAATAGAGAAGCTAGATTTTTTTATATAAATGCTATTTAGTTAAAATTAGTTTATGGAGAAAACCAGATATTTGGACCAATTACACAAAAATATTACTTATTTGGCACCATACACTTTAGAATTTCATTAAATGCTGTATTTATATTCTTAAATTCTTAAACCGTCTATTGTTATTGTAATGTTATAAAGATTTATACATTTTTAACGTCTAAACATAATATTATTTCTTTCGTTGACTACACTTTGACAGATACATAACCTGAAAAGCCTTAAATTCCAAATTTTTAAAAGACTGCGTTCCGTACGTGGTCACGTGGTGGGACTTTGAGGTGTGGAGCATAGTACATAGAGACCCTGTCAGGAACTAATTAAACCATAGATTAAATCTATGAATAAAAACTTAACATTAAATTGATACACACAGGCTAAATGACTTGAATTTTTTAAGCATTCTCCAAATACAACATACATACTCAGTGAGTATTACCCACTAAAGGAATACGTATCAATATTTAACAGAAATGCTAGGACAGAATCTAATTTTGAATTTTAACTGTCAATTATTGTCTATGGTGTGATAATCAATTGTTGCCAAACGCATGGGTATTGTTAAAATAAAAACCATAAAATGCATTTTTTATAAGATGAAATATTAATTTCATTGAACCGTTATTTGAACATTCTGTAGTTTATATGATACGAATATAGTTGAGGTAAAGCCATTATTGGTTTAGGGAATTTTTTAAACAGTTTTTTGGGATTCCTGTTTGTTGGAGGATCATGCACCTTCAAGTTGCACGACTTATGGGACTGTGTATAAATTTTTTGAATTTGAAATTAAAAATTTAGATTTTATTAACTGATTATGCCATTATGCCATAATGCCATAATGTTGTTAATCTGCTTTATTACAGTTAAAATCTCTTGGGGATAATTTGATAAAGTCAAAACTAATTTTAAAAAGCTGTTCAGTTTTTTAATTATTTGTTATTGAGATTTTCTTTGTACTGTTTACCACAATTAAAATAAATAAAAAACATATTTTACTATTAAAATCTTTAGATGTATATTAGTTACCACATTCAAAACTTGTTTCAAAAATCTTTTATTGTTGATGTTAAAACTGCTATGAATATGTTTTTTAATGATTTCTTTAGTTTTTAATGTATATTAAATTATCTTATTTTCTATTAATTTTATTGATAATATTCTAATGTTCTACCTAAAAACCTACAGTAAAAACCTTATCTAAACCTACAAAGAACCTACCTAAATATTAAAACTCTAGATATACCTTAAAGTATTTATTACAAATTACAACTATAGTTTATAAATTAAAGGAAATTATAGGTAATAATCTAATTACATACAGATAGCTATAATAGTTTAGGATTAGTTTCAATATACTGGTAACAAATTAGTTTCAATAAGATTGAAACAAATATAAGTTATTTTCTTAATTAAGTTATCCAGTCTACTACGATTAGTCTGTCAAAAAATGCTGTTTAAAATGAATGAATGAATGACCAAGTTATGTCATTGGTTCTATGCTCTGGATTAAAAATTCAAAAAGTAGGTGAGGCTAAAGTTATCGCTTTATGATACCGAATTTTTATAACACAGCACTTTATTAACTTTTTTCGACGATAGACCGGTTCGGAGTTATATTTTGCGGACAGATGAAATTAAAATACTTGCTTTGTCACATTAAATAGGACTAAGAATATAAAAAATTAATTAATTATCGGATTTATAATCGCATACCGCTCATTGGGCGGATTAAATTGCAATTTTTTGCCGTCTTCAATTTCAATTCCATATTTTATGATGTAACCGCTCCCAGTATGTATTAATTAGTACACCGAGCCTTCACGGTGCAAGAAAACAAAGCCCGAATTTGTAATTCAATATTCTATTCTACTCTTCACTACGCCTGTACAATACGCCATTAATATTCCAATTTAAATAATATAAGTCGCCATTAATATTCCAATTTAAATAATATAAGTTTCAGTCATGTTGATTTAGATATTAATAGTGTCATAGACAAATGCACAAGATAAGTTTTAATTTGCATAATATGTATATTATACAATGTCAGGATATTGATGAGTATGTAGTCGAGACTAAGCAGTGGTACGATAAGATTTTTTTACATGAAAAATATACAGCTGATACATACGAGGTGTGTTCAGAAAATATCGGGATCTTTAGTTTTTTGAAACAAATATTTATTTATTCGTCTACATTAATGTTGTCGCCTTCAAAATAGTCCCCATTGGATATTATGCACATGTGCCAGCTCTTCTTCCAATACTCGAAACACTTCTAAAACTCGATCTTTGGGATAGCTTTTAGTTCTTTCAGCGATGCGCTTTTAATGTCATCTATGCTTGCAAAACGACGGCCCTTTAAGGTTCTCTTTATTTTTTGGAATAGGAAAAAGTCAGACAGAGGCATGTCTGGCGAATATGGAGGCTGGGGCATCATTACAGTATTGTTTTTGGCCAAAAATTTTGTTCAAAATTTAACAATTTTAGAAAAAATTTTGCTGCCACGCGTTTCATACCCAAAACATTCGAAAAAATTTCATGGCATAAGCCAATCGATATACCAACATCATCAGCGACTTCTCTGATGGTTTATAACCATTTCTTCCTCTTTTTCCATGTTTTTATCGGTTGTTAATGTGCTTGTGCGTTCGGGGCGTTCGTCATCTTCAACGTCTTCGCGGCCATCTTGGAAACTCTTATACCACTTGTAAACTCTTGTTTTACTTATAGCAGACTCACTATA